CTGACTGCTCACTGACTGCTCACTGACTGCTGACTGACTGCTCACTGACTGCTCACTGACTGCTCACTGACTGCTGACTGACTGCTCACTGACTGCTGACTGACTGCTCACTGACTGACTGACTAGCTTGTGGCCTTGTCTGTTCCTGCTGTTGTTGCTGTGTGTATCAGAGCCTCCATGTCTCCTTCTTACCAGGTTTGTAGGATGTTGATTAGCAGTCATCCAGTTGTCAGGCTGAATCCTGGAGCCCTGGAGGAATTGAATTTGTTTCCAAGGAGGAATAAACAATCTCCTGATATCTGCATAAACATGATTTATTGAGTTTGCATGAATACCCAAACGGATCTTTTTCTCTTCCTCACCAGATCGTCTTTTGTCAGACTCATTCGCTGGTCAGGACTGTGACTCTCCAGACGTCGGTGGCTTTCAGAACAAAACCCTTCCACCGCACAGACCGCACAAAAGTCTGGCCCTAACTAAGCCCAGCCGCCCCCATCAGCCCAGTCCCAGGTCAAATCCACAGGTGCTCCCTCAGGTCGACCCCATCAGGACTCAAGGCCTTCCAGGGCCCTCAAAACGTCGACTCTCTGTAGAGCGAAGCCTCTCCTCAGAGGACCCACCAAGTGCCAGAGGTTCCCAGGGCAGCGTTGCTCTGAGGCCGTCTAGAGTTTACACAATAACAAGGGAAGGCAGGATGACTCTGGGGGGCGCTGGTCGCCAGGAGGCTGTAGAGCTGGAGGTGCTGAAGGGGCCCAGGGAGCCCCAGCCCTCCAACCCTGCCATCCACACCCAGTCCTCAGCTGCGGCTATTCGAGGTAGCCACCACCACAGCAGCCATAGTCGCACTAGCCATCACCATAGCAACCAGCTACAAGGGGGCCCTTCAACAGCCTCCCAGCCACTACAGAGCTCCAGGAGTGCCAGCGACATCGGCGACTGGTGGGTCAGGAGAGGAGGGTCCAGGGAGGACTACAGCCCAGACTGTGTGGCCTGCATTCGGGCCCCATGTCAAAGCCAGCGGTCCCTGGACCTGGACTCGTCCCCACAGGATGGAGAAAAGCACCGAAAGAAGCTGGAGAGGGTCTACAGCGAGGACCGGACGTCCACTGACAACAAAGGTAGAGAATGAAATGCTGCTTCAACCAAGTGGTCCTTCTAACTGTCAATCATTCTAGTGATAAGTTTACGTAGAGCCGTCCTTCGTGCTCGTCCCCATTTTCACTGAGCACTGGTGAGTCTGACATAGTGGGAAAATATGAGCGATGCAAACAGCTAATTTAACAGTTTGCACAAGGACTCGTGCATCCTCTCACAAGTGTTTAAAAGGCATTCCCTCTCGGGAAGTACAGAGGGCGGGTCTTTTCAGAAAAGTAGATCTGTTGTTGATAGAGTAAAATGTATAAACTTAACTTTGTAATTTAATCTTTAGCCTCATCTCTCTCTCTGTCTGTGACTCGCCTCCTCCATCCTGTTCTGTCTTTTCAGATGACGGGTCTAATAGCTGGTTCCCCAAGGAGAACATGTTCAGCTTTCAGACGGCCACCACCACCATGCAGGCGTGAGTACAGAAGAAACACGCCTTCACCACCACTCACTGTTTGATGCTGTCCATTTAAAACTGAACCACTGTCCTGAGGCCCCGTCCACACAAAGTCAAAACGAACACGAAACGCTAATATTTTCCAGAACGTTTG